CTGGTGGTTGTACAACGCATGTTCGAATTTTGTGTTGGTTTGTATAAGTTTAGGTAATAGGTTTTGTATAGATTTTCTATAATTCTCATAGGTTTTCCATAAGGACTACCTATTGGGGAGGATAATTTTATTGCGACAATGGACTGTCTGGAAATTTTATCATACTCCTTTCTCTCTTGTTTAATTGTTAGAATTAATTTTGGTAGCCTAATGGCAGTCTCTAAGCAACAAAATGTATGCGAAAACTGCCGATTTGAAATACACTTTTTTATGAATTTTATGAACCGAAACATCGGCCGATTTGAAACCACTATTTTTTTTTTCTTTTTTAAATTGAGATACTTAAGGATTTCTCTTTCAACGCTGACTTGGAAATTAATGCCGACTTTCGAGAAGATTTGTCATCTCGGATGATACTTCTCTATTTCTCTCTATATAAATAATTCCTTGCATTGATCGTCATTTTTCATTTCACTGTGAAATGATCCATGCCAAAATAAATCGGCCGGTAAAATAGTTAACGGCGCGATTACTATTAATCTCTTAGCTATTGCGCCACTATTAAATGTGTGTATCTACATTGCAATTATACTCGTCGAACACAGAGTGTGCGCAGCTGCTGTAAAATTGAATTAAACCATAAGGAAATAGTTCTTTCTTTAAGAATCGATAACTTCATTGCTTAATTTAACTAATATTAACGTTAAATAATAATTAATTAGTCGAGCACACTCTGAAATAAATATATATATAAAGAAATATATTTGATATTTCGCAAGAAATTTTATTTCAAGCAACAAATTGTGATTACTCTTCTCGGTACATTACACAAAAAAAAAAATTGCCATTTCTTCGTGACGTGACATCATACTTAACTAAGAGGTTAAAAGCATCCCTCTCAACTGTGTGAAACGAGATACAAATTCGCTAGCCGCCGCTGGCCAATCGTTTTCGAAATATCAGGGGGAGGTTAATCACCCCGGGTCAACTTCGCCCTCACGTTGCGAGAAGTTGCGGACGTCGACCGGAGGATCGGTGTCGATCGGTTTCTCTGTCTGGAGGACAGTGATGAAACTGGCTCGCGGGTCAGCGATCAGGATTGACAACAAACGATAACTTTAGTTAGAACAAACGGCAAACTTGTTGTCAGAACTCCTCGTCAGCGCGAAAAAAAAAAAAA